AAAAGTATAAGGAACAACAGCTGAGACTCTTTGCAAAATAGGCTATACTCCAGCCATGCAAACATCAGAGGTTTCATCTGTCTCTCCAGGTAAACAAGGCACATTATTCAGGAACACTTTCCAACTAGACAAGCATATTGGAAGACAGTTTGGTGCAGGATAGTGAGGAGCTTAGCCTGGAAGTGGGGAGTAAGGTAAAAGGTCCCCTGGATGGTTAACTACGGGATACCTTAGGAAGGTCCCAGGAGCTGGACAGTGAAGCCTAGAGGGATGCATCCAACCCCCAGTCCTGAGACTCCCCACTCCAGAACTAGAACGATTCCAACTGTCAAAATAAAAGGAAATAATGAAGTGTGGATTAGCTTTCTTTGTGACAGTGGGGACTGATAACAGGCATATGCCTCACTGCAAAAACCCTTTTCCCAGTCAAACTTCCTAACAGATGTAACAAATATGTATAGTTGCAAATGGGAATTACAGAATATGTATCGAGAAGGAGATCATTACACTTTATCCGGAATAATTGTTTTGTTTCCTGTTCGCAAAGTCACTTGGGCAATGCAGATGCACAAAAACTTGATAATACTTTACTAGTGGATAAACTGAAGAAAAACAGTACATAATGGGAAGAGAAATGACCAAAAGAGAGTTTGTCTTTTAGCTAGGGTGGGCATTGAAGCATGCAATTAGCACAAACTAGCCAATAAAAACTTGAGTTACCTCAGCAACGATCATGCCAATCTGACTGGTTGCTAGGCAATTTAATAAAAGATATATGTTGCTCGATTGTAGAAATGAAACCCTCAAAGTGGTTTACAAAAAGATGAAATCAATAAAATAAAAAAGGAAAATACTTTAAAGCATACAAAATTTAATGCAAACATGCTGGGAATGTGGACTTGGGAGAACACATCTCTATTTGAGACTTTGTCCTGCCACTTGAATCCCATAATCTTCCCAACAGCACAGGTGGAAGATGTTGAGACAACACTCCTGGAGGTTGTAAGTTGCCCATGACTCACTTCCATAAAGCAGCATGCTCAACAGTCAAGCTTGGTAAACCATCTTGGCTTTGGGCATTAGCATCACATTGTCCCATACCTTTTTGGAGAGGTGAGCTGCCTTGCTAATATACTTGTCCAGTGCAGAGTCGATGAAAAGGTTGCCGGTAATGTTGGAGACCTGGTAGACAAAATCATCTACCGCCTCAAGCGTGTGGTCAACAATGCTAATGTATGGAGTGCTTGCCCGCACCTCAAAGATATCTACAAATGTGACATGAAGGCTGGCAACATCAACCCTGCCCTGTGGGAATCCATTGCAGATGACTGCAGTGCCTGGAAACATGCAGTTAGGTCATGCATCCATAGCCGTGACCAGAGGAGAAATGACCACTCGGAGGAGCACAGGGAGAAGAAATTGTTAGGATATAGTTCCGTTCCATCTTAAAAGGGTACAGGCATGACTGTTGTGTGTCACATGCTTGTTTACTTCCAGCACTGTCTGCTGGGAACTTCCGTTTGTATATTGCTTTTGCTTATAGCTGTTTTGCTGGATACGAAGGGAAGAAGACATGTTTTCCTTTGTTCTTGAACTATGTTGAATAAATGCTGTAAATATGCTTACACATTTCTCTGTCTGCCATTTCCGCTGTGAGAAGATATATTCATTCTACAGGTCTCTAAACGTATCTGAGGTTCGTGTCGCTGATTGATGCTGTTCCAAGAGAGACCGGTGGCTGGAGCCAGCTGGGTGCCTGCCTGATGCCCCTGTCTCCCCGGCAGTATCCCAACAGAAATGCCATGGTGCATCTGAAGCAGCACAACAGGACGCATTGATCTGTCCCAGCTGTAACAAAACATGTCTCTCCTGCATCTCTCCTGCATCGGTCTCTACAGCCACTGTAACAGGCACTGTAACCCTCCAACAGTTTCACTTCACCCCAAAGGTGCACTCCTCCATTGTCTCCGGAGAAGATGGATGCCAACAACCAACAAAAAGTTAAGATCTAAAACTGATTAAAATTCACATCAGCATTTCGCAGGTGCCAAAAAAGAGTACAATTATTAATTAAATGGTCCTTGCTATTGTACTTCCAACAGTTCCTTCTCAGGTGGCGTTGAATTCTCATTCAGGATGACTTCCAGAGCACCACCAATGATGATCCACAGCCACCATAGTATTTATTCAATCACCTTGTTCATAAAAAAACAACAACCCTCAACTTGATATTTGTGTCCTGTCGTTTTTGTGGTTCACAAAGATGATAAAGTTGTGCCAAATGGAATAGAATGAGTCTATAGTTGCAACCCCCCATAAGACTTTACAGGAGATGCTTTCATTTTAGCCACATTATCAAGGACTACCATTTGCTATACCAATATGGCAACTCGTAATTGGGGAAAAATTCAGTTCAGTTTTCTTTTGAAGGCAAATCTACCTCTTTTGCATTTTCCAAAATAATACATGAACTGAATCACAGCCATCCTTCACCTCTCCATGTTTTGAGATCTAATTCTCTAGTTGCACATCATGCAAGGGGTAAAGTGTGCCTAGAAACACATATGTTAGTGAAAATAACATTCAAAAGATGCATTATAATATGGATCATTCCTTTGCAAAAATGTGCATATTAGGCAAAATTGCAAAACAAAAGTGTATAAATCAGGAGAAAATTGCAGTAAAATGAGGATGAATTTTCAGAAGGACTTTAAGCAATTTTTTGCACAAATGATGTTGAACTGTAGAAAACTGAACGTCAGGCTGGAAAAAAGAGAACCCGAAATGGTCAGATTCAGCCACCCCCAGCAGCAAGAGACCTTTTTCGAGGATGGGAAGTGCAGAAATCTAAAATGGAGGCCAACTGGCTGTGCCCTAGAACAGCTGTCAGGGATCTAGGCATTTTGGGGCATAACAAATGAGTTATTCAATAGCACGGCACATTGGAGCAAATAAAAAAAATGCTATTTTAGGTTTTCTGAACATAAACAAAGGAAGCCAAGGCCCTGGAAGCAGATGTGGCAGACTCTGTCCTAGAAAGGCACTGCTTCAAAGAACTGGGTTCAGTTCTAGTTGCCATAATTTGAGAAGAATGTGGATGTTGACAACTTCCTCAGGATTGAAAGGAGAGTTAAAAGGAAAAGTTTAAGAGGCTCAGAAGGCAATGAAGGCCTCAGGGGAAAGTGTGTTGACATGTTGTCGGTTTCAAAGTGTTTTAAAGAGAAAGGGAACCATTGTTCAGCTCGCCCTGAAGATGGGATAAGAAGTAATTGGGTAAATTGCAGGGAAGATTATTTAAATGGGCCTTTAAGAATCAGAGCACTATGGAAACAAAGCAAGTTGCTTTTACCACTCCCCAAGCAGAGAAACTGGGAGAGACCAAGGAAAATGTGCTCTGAGAGGACTACGGTGCAGGAGGATTCGCTGGAGTTGAAGGGGCAGGCCAGATCCTTATCTGTCTCTACTTGACAAGCCAGCATTGCCAGGTGGTTTGTGTGGGATGTAATCCACTGGGAGCAGTCAAATACAACATTTTGCTAGAGTGGACATGCAAGGGAATGTTTGGTCCGGCCAGTCGAAACTTCCTCTTCCTCCTGGCCTGGAGCATCCTTCCTTGCATGTGACTAGTGGATGGGTGTGACCTTTCCAGACCTAGTAAAAGGCCAAGGCATGTGGCCACTATCTCTCCTTTTCCTATGAACTGCTGGACTGCTAGCCTGAGTTACTAGGTAAATCTCCCTTATGGGGTAAACCTGTTTGTATATGTTTCAAACTTTAAGCCTAAAGCCTGCCTTCAGGGATCATAGAATCATAGAATCATAGAGTTGGAAGAGACCACAAGGGCCATCGAGTCCAACCCCCTGCCAAGCAGGAAACACCATCAGAGCACTCCTGACATATGGTTGTCAAGCCTCTGCTTAAAGACCTCCAAAGAAGGAGAGTCCACCACACTCCTTGGCAGCAAATTCCACTGTTGAACACACTGTTCGATCACACTGTGCTCTGCCTGATCGTGAGTAAACTTTCTTTTTGTTACTTATGAATAAGACTGTGGTGTCTTTATTCTTTTATGAGGGATTCAAGGGGTCTTACCAGGAAAATATTAGAACACAGTTCAATCAGGACAAGCCAGATTGAATTGCGTATTGTCTTAAGAAGCTCACGTGAGTTTGCAACAAGTTTTCTGCTGTGTAAAGGGGAATGCACTCTGCTAAGTGAAGGAACTTGCTAGCACAAGTTAGGAAGGATATCAATAAACATTATATCCTCTCCTGCCACCCTGAACATTCCCACAGCTTGGACGACCCATTTGCCTACCTGGTGTCATGGCAAGACAGGGGCAAAATAGTGATGTTAGTTTAGCCAGGTGTGTGTATGTGTTGGCAGGGGACAATTGTCTCCTGGTAAATGGAGACATATCAAGCCTATATAGCCATTGGAAATAGCATATGAAGATCAGAAACAATGGAACATTGTGCCTCCCCCCAAAATTAATTCAGATTATGCAAGCCATGTTATCACACAAAAGAGGCTGTGGTAAGGATACTTCCTCTAGTGAGAAACTGAGCTCACCAATTTGCTGTAGTGTCTGCCTTGGTTTCGCTCTTTGTAAAGACTCTCATAAGGATTGCACAGATGTTGCCTCCTGAATGGCTTTGCTTCAAGCCAGACAAAAATCAACACTCATAGAAAAAAGTAGCATGATGTCTATGATCCTGCAATGATTCAGTCGAGAACAAACCTGAAATGACTAACTGGAGAAGAGCCCAAGAGGAGATTTCTCCCACACAACTTGCCAGTGTGAAGTGCTTACAAGTAGCTATTTCCTCAGTCAGATTTGTACGCTTGACCAACACAAACTACTAGAAAATTACAAAACCAGGAATGTAGATAATAATTGCAGACCTGTGGAAATGTATATGTCCAGAAGTGGGAAACCTGAATTAGTCCAGTGTTAATTTCATGGGGTATTATCATTTCAGCTTTTAGAAACATTAAAAGCCAGTTCAGCTTGTTACAGCATGGTGTTGATAACGCCAAGGTTGCAGGTTCAATCCCTGTATGGGACAGCTGCATATTCCTGCATTGCAGGGGTTTGGACGAGATGGCCTTCAGGGTCCCTTCCAACTCTACAGTTCTACAATTCTCCAAATTGTCAAAATCAGTCCTTTTTTCTGGGGGTACGCAGGGGTACACATACCCCTAAACATTTTGTGAATCTACGTTTGGCCTCACTGAGGGGCAGTATTTCAATATGAGCAGGAAAATGAGAGTACCCCTAAACATTTTTTAAGAAAAAGAAAGCATTGGTCACAATGTACAAAAGCTTGATGAGTGCCATGGTACAGGCCGTGCACTAATTGGAAAGGAAGCAGAGTGTCTGAATTTTCGCAGGTGCAAAAAGGAACCGGAAGCGCCCTAACACCACCAAGGGCAGAAATCAACATGAATGCACAAAAGAAAGGATGTCTGCAGTAGCCCTTTAAGAATCAGTGCCCAGTATTGCTGCACTATTTTCTTTGCTACTCTATTTCCACACCTGTCAGCAGCTGCTGCATTACGCAGAACAAGGAAGGGGATGCAGAACCGTTTCTTTGGTGCAGCTACAATTCAAGCACCTTAGGGCTCTGCACCCCCTTGAATCTTTCCATTCCAGCTGGTCAGTAACACCTGCAACTAATAACTTATAGCTGAGCATCCTTTCCTCCCTTCCCAATCCCATTTCCTTTATTGACATGTCCAGGAGTGGAAGAATCTGCCAGTTTTGGTTTCCTTCTGTTTTTCATTGTCTCAATCTTAAGCTCAGTACTCCCCAGTCCGTGACAGTTTACAATTAAAAGGAAAAAAAGAAAACTCAACCCGAAAATTCATACGCTGTTTCGTGTGCATTTCCAATACATTTTCTTACGTAATTCTGCCTAATACATGCATTTTGCAAGCAACTCTCCCAACTACAGTGCATTTTTGTATATTATTTTCACTCATCTAAGCATTTTTGTATGCACTTTCCCAGAATATATGCTTTTTGGTCCACCTTTTGGGATTCGAGAACTGCACTGCAAAATTTGGAGAAGTGTGAATTTTGAAAGATAGACATGTCTCAGTTTGTGTGTTGGTTAGGGAAATAGAAGCTTGGAAGGTCCACATTAAAATGTAAACTGAATGGTCCCGTCCCTGTCCCCCACCCCACCTGATATGCTGACCACTCTGGGAGCCATTTTTGGCTTGAAGAGCAAGAGAAAAATTATTGGGGGGCGAGGGAATAAATTTTAAAATTATAGGGATTGGGGAAAACGGGACAGGAGTGGAAGATGGGAATTATCCATCGCTCCATTCACAGCCCTTGCATGGGGGAAGGTAATTGAACTACTATTATGGAAAACTTGCAATCACTCGTTGTCACTTTGAATTTCTACTGCTCTTCAATGGTCTTGCATTTTTCTGGCACCAGAGACATTTAGCATCTGTGCCTGGTTATGCTGAGGATAAAACCTTCATTAAGATGGAGCCTGAAGTTAGCCCAAAATTCCTGAACTCCCAACCCATTATTCCACAAGTGCATTTCTCATTTTCTTATTGCTCCATTCCCCCCACCCCGCGCCTTGTTGCTTTGGCGAATCTAATCGGACTCCCTCCCCAAAACATCTGGAAATATTCATAGAGTTTAATAGAGAGATCTGCCATAGATGCAGTATGATTACAATGGCTACGTTCAGAAAGTGATGAGGGGTTTGAAAGGTTTTGTTTCCTCATAAGCCACAGTTTAATGTTATATCTGAAACACAAACTGTGGTTAATATTAACTGTGGTTTGTCGAAACGAGCCAACTGCTTACATAACCCATTATTTGAAGTTGGATTGTTTATAAGAAACCATATTTAATTCTGACCACAGTTTGTTAGATTTGGATGACACAAGCCACAATAATTTAAAAAAATAAATTTCTGATCTCAGACACATAGAAAGAGAAGAGACAGATGTGGAATGTACAAGCCCCAAACTCACGCAGGCTCATTCAAATCATGATAAACCATGGTTTAGTGTAACATTCAAATGCAGCCACTGTCTGATTTTGCTGTAAGTAAACTAATAAGAACTGCAATTGTAGACATTGTCCTGCTTGCTTGGGACTGAACAGCAGCCATTTCCTAACCTTGCTCAGACCATGATAGGTCATGTTTGTCAACCTTCATTTTGTCTTGGATATCACTTGCTTAGGGACTTTGGTGTACATTTGTCTGATGCAAATAAACAAGAGAAAAATCATCTAAACGAACCTAAGCTCTCAGGACATAATTTGATTTGTTAACTGTGCCTAAGAACTATTGATCACACTCACACCATACATTTAAAAGACATGCGTGCCCCCAAAGAATACTGGGGACTTCAGCACCCCCTTACAGAATTAAAATTTCCTCCAGCCATAACAAGCTATGTGCCAATTCATTTTGCATTTTTTAAAATAATTGCTGTATATTAATAAATAACAGCCTAGTGATGATGGCAGCTGTGTGGGGGATAAGGAAAATATGTAGTGGTAGGTTCTGCAATATCACATTTTTTCGCCCAATAGGAAGGAAGCCTCATTTATCTCCAAGGAGTTACTTCCAAGTAAAACATACCCAAGCCAGCCAATTGTGGTTTATACAGTGGTGCCCCGCAAGACGAATGCCTCGCAAGACGGAAAAACCGCTAGACGAAAGGGTTTTCCGTTTTGAAGTTGCTTCGCAGGACGAATTCCCCTATGGGCTTGCTTCGCAAGACGAAAATACCTTGCGAGTCTTGAGATTTTTTTCGCTTCCCCCTTTATCTAATCTGCTAAGCCTTTAATAGCCTTTAATAGCCTTTTAGCAGCTAATCCCTAAGCCTTTAAGCCTTTAATAGCCGCTAAACCGCTAATAGCGCTAATAGCGCTAATCCGTCAATGGGCTTGCTTCGCAAGACGAAAAAACCGCTAGACGAAGACTCTCGCGGAACGGATTAATTTCGTCTTGCGAGGCACCACTGTATTATACAGACACCACACCTGGGTGTGGACTTGGAGGAAAGAGTTTAAACAAACATACCCCAGTTCACAGTCAGGTTCTCCTTCTGTGTCCAGTGTCATGCTAGCAATAATCACTGCAAGATTCTCCCCCATTGCTCTAGAAATCCCCCTTCCACATCCCAGGTGGGGTTTCCAACATTTCTTCCTGTGATTGCTTAGCAACAGTAATTAAGTGATTGCAAGCACCTTTAGCAACAGCCCCTTCTCTGCATCTGCCTCTAATAAGCCTTAGAATGTCTCCACATTTGCCTTTTTAACTTTCTTTACAGATGTCCAATTGACTTACTTTTCTTAAAATGAAAGCTTAGGGTCCAGGGCCCATGCCATCTTGGGGCCTGATACAAATGTATCCCCTATCAGCAATATAGGCTGTGAATGGCCTTAACAAAAACCATGCAATAAAACTACAGGAAAATAAAATGCACTGCCTAATTACAGTAAGTAGAAAAATTGTTACAAGAAGGTGTGGTGGTGTTTAGTCGTTTAGCCATATCCAACTCTTTGGGACCCCATGGACCAGAGCACACCAGGCACTCCTGTCTTCCACTGCCTCCCGCAGTTTGGTCAAACTTATGTTAGTAGCTTCGAGAACACTGTCCAACCATCTCGTCCTCTGTCGTCCCCTTCTCCTAGTTCCCTCAATCTTTCCCAGCATCAGGGTCTTTTCCAGGGAGTCTTCAAAAAGTGCCTGAGTGAATAGATAGTTTTTTAATAGACACCAAAAGCACATTAATGTCCTGAACCCCTGGCCTACCTGGCAACAAGGCAGTATGCCAAGTTCAAAATCTGAGGGTCAGTCCACACGAAGTCCAAAGGTTAGGAAATTTTTGTACTTTTCTTAATGATATGTCTGTACATCTTTGGACAGACATCTCTTGGGACTTATATATGAAAAACAATTCACAAATTAATAAACATTGGTGCTGTTAATACTTTTTTAAATTTATTACCTGTCCTTCATCCTAAGGTCACAGAGTGAGTTTCAGCAACTTAAAATATGATACTAAAAACAGTTTCAAACACTTACAATGCAATCACAAAATGCCAGGTGAGTCCTGAAAATATACATCTCAGCTGTCAAAGCCTAGGGGAGCATCTATTATAATTTCTATATGTTGTGACATGGCCAGTAATTCTTTTAAAAAAGAAACATATTTATGTGTATGTAAAGTCATTCTTTATTGTTTGTTAAGACAATATTCCCTCCCTCTTTCCTGGAATGACAATTTGCTCATCTGTTTGCTTATTTTTTAAAGAGGCTTTCAAACTGTCCCCACCTCCGCTTACAATGTAATTGAATACGTTGCAAATGTTTCATTTAGACTCAACTTGTGCTTTCTTTACTGGTTTAAAAATAGGAGCCTGCTTACAAGCTACTGAAGTTTAAAGGGGTTAGGTCACATCTGTTTACTACTTTGGGTTGTGTGTGTGTATCTGCAATCATAAATCACTGCTACCCAGCTGAATTTGGAGGAAGAAAATTCCCCAGGATCAGCATCCTGGTTTAGGAGGGTATACAACTCAGCAAGATTCTTAAGATCCAGCCTAGAAGAAAATGTATCACGCAACAATTTAGCTGTGAAATTTTAATGTAGTGCTGTTTATTGGCAAAAGTTGAGGTGAGTGAGTCACTATTGCTCCCCTTTCACAGCTGCTGAACTGTAGCTTAGCCCCCAACAAGATACTGAATACCACTCCAGCTATCTATTCACTGAGAAGAAAGAAAGAAAGAAAGAAAGAAAGAAAGAAAGAAAGAAAGAAAGAATTAAAATATAGGACTCTTTCCATAGATGAATATATTCAGTAGGAGTTTTGGAAAGACAACAAGAGGCTTTTTTCTTTTAATGTCTTTAAATATATTTATGACTATTACTGACAATATTTGACAGTTACTGTCTGCTTTCATGTAATGTCAGTCTTTCTGGGGCTCATAAATCTGCCCAATGCCAAGTGAATACAACAAGAAGTATAATGTGGTTCCTCCACCCAGCACTGCTGGCATTAAGTACATGACCTCCAATG